CATGTAAATATGCATATATAATTGTCATTTATAGGGATAATTTATTTGCTTTCAACATATTAACCTCGATTTGAAGGACAACCTCATGCCTATTTTGCTCACCATTGCATCCCCAGTGCCACCTACTGGGAGCACTCTGAGCACCTTGCACATGGTAGTCAACAGTCACTCACCAGTCAACAACACAAACAAATATATGATATTTGAACTAATAAGTACTATAAAGGATATAAAGCAGTGAAAGGAATAGTAAATTTTGAAGGTAGAATATACATAGAATGTTCAGACAAGAGATGTCTGTGGAAAGGATGTTGCTTTGCCTCCCACAGATTTGTCATCCCTTTTCCCCTGGGTGACGGAGCCACAAAGGATTATTCAAAGCCCATCTCTTCTAAGTAGCAAGAAGCCCCAAAGTGGTTAGTCTCCTGGAACCCTCAAGGGAGAGGCATTCCTTTCATTTGGGAAATTAACCACAAATTGGGGTTCTCTTCCTGCATTTATTCTCCAGACCAGGAAGTTACAGGAACAGAACATAGGTGGGGTTACGGTTTAACTATATAGGCTGGTAACATTCAGTAAAACAAGCAAAGTGACATTGCATAAGGCAATTTAAGTGAGCCACCAACAAAAGCTTGATCTTAGCAAACATTCCTTTTCCCTACAGCACCTTCCAGGTATCTTTACATATCAATCAGTAACTTGTCTGTCTTTGAATCAGCAACCTTGCTGTATTACAACTCTCTATCTTACAGCAGAGACTATAGCCTGGGGAAAATTTCCTGTTTTTTGCAAGGTCAACATTTTATATGTACTTTTATGAAGTTGGGCTAAACCTGAAAGTACAAGAAACTAGGCCTGGTGAAATATATTTGTTTTATAGTATACTCCATAAAAGGACATTTGAGCTGAGATCTGAATGAAGCAATGGAGTGAAGAGATAGAATATTTGGTAGAAAAGTGTTTTGGTGGAGGGAAGAAAGAGCAGGCAGAAAGGTCCTCAGGTAATATGCTCAGTGTAGTTAAAACACAGTATGAAGGTCAGTGTGGCTAGAACTGTATGAACAGGCAAAATAATGGTAGGGAGTGTGATTAAAAAGAAAGTAAGAGGCAAACCACTTGTAGTCTTTTTGAATGAGTGAATTCGCTTCCCAGACTGCTGGGAGTCACAACTCTAAAAGAGTACTCAAGGGAATTATGGAAATTAATGAGTATATTAGAATGTACTAGACACTTTGGAAGGACAAAAAAAAATTTCAATAGAGAAGATTTGCTGTCTGTCATAAAGGAATTTGCAATATATTTGTGAAGACCATTCACAAAGATATATAAAAGATAATTGATTGCAAGGGGAAGTTTATGATGACATCATGTAATCATCCTAAGGAAAGGAATACTAAGATTTCAAATGAGGGAGAGAATGCCATGAAAAGTTGAAAGATATTTCTTTGGCATGGATAAACGTAAACTGGAAACTGATGAGTAATTTAGAATTTGATAGCAAAGATTCAGACAAGAGAAATATCTGAGTAAAGTAGAAATGAAGGGAATACACAGCACATGTTTAGGAGTGGTGAGATCAATTTCTTTTAACGTTGAGGAAAAACACCTGGGTAGAAGGTCAGAAGCTAGGTTTAGAGGACTATGCCTATCAGAATATGAAGTTTGAATCTGCTGTAATGGGGTTATGTTGAAGATATTGTTGGATTAGAAAAATAAACCATTTTATGTTCTAAATTTGAAAGACTGTGGATAGGGAATTGGAGGTTTAAGCAGTCTTTGAAAGGGCTGTGGAAGTGAAAGTCAGATAATTTTCTGCCAATGGTCTCAACCTTCACTTCAATGCAAATTGTTCTCAAAAGCACAACCCAAAGGCACTGCATTTCTCAAAAACCTCCAGAGGGCTCCCATCACTATCTAGGTGTACATCCGTGAAATAAATAATGTTCAAGGTCTCGCTTGAACTTTATTTTACCTTTCCATTTGCCTACAAATCTGCCTGCAGAGAAAAATGGCTTCTTCTCTTCCACCTTCTATATCTTCCATGAATGCTTCTTTTTGTTAAACTCTAACCCAGAACCACCTGGAGAAAGGATGGCTGGGAAATAAAGTTCCAGACATCTCTTTCAAAAGGCAGAGCTGGAGTTGGAGTGGAAATGACAGTGATGGTCCATGGAAATAGACAACCCAGCAAAGAAGAAAAGATCAGATGACTGAACCAGAGTCTGGACTTTCCATCTTTACCCAAAGCAAATCAATTCAAAAATTATGCTTTCATATAATATTTCATTTGAAGAGAGGAATACACTACTAAAACAAACAAGCAAGCAAACAAACAAAACAGAATCAGAAACACTTAACCACTACTTTTTTAGGCACAAGTCCATTTTAACCAGTACATAAAGAGAACTATTGTCATGTCCTAATTTTATTCAGCCACAGGCAACCATGGTTTTTTTCAACTTTTCTCATACGGTGATTATAAAATATCTAAAATTCTTGTTATTCTAAACTGTTTTTGTTTATCACCCTCTACTGCTTTTAAAATGTGATATTCAGTGTTAAGCACAGATCTCATAATGAAATCTAGTACTGTACAGTGGGACTATATCGTTCAATGATTTTGATGCTATCTTTATATTCATGCAACCAAAGTTTACATTAATGTTTTAGGATTAGTTTCACATTTCTGCTTAATATTGAGCTTGCAATCAAAATTTTTCAGTACTTTGCACATGAACCAAAGCCAAGCTGAGTCACTTTCCCCGAATAGATTTTGAGGTCATTCACACAAAATCAGTATCTAAAGTCAAATAAATGAGTGAAATTTCCAAAGGAAAGATAGCAAATCATACAGTTAGCAGAGAAGTACAGACAGCAGGTAAGGTCAGGATTTTGAAGATCAAATTTACATTTAAAGAGTTTTAGCAAAGAAATTGAAAATGAGAAAAAGAATGTTACTTATGCAATATACAATCGAATAATTAGAGCCTAGAAAGAAGTTAATTCCACCCCAGATGTAGTAGGAAAACTGGGCTGGTTTGCTATTAAAGTAAATAAGAAAGAAAAAGAAAAAAATAGCATAATAGGTTTGCTTTTTAAAGCACAGATTGAATAGATTAGATGAGGACATATGCCTGATTAGACAAGGATTAGAGGCAAATATGTGATGAGAAGTTATAATGCCATAAGCAAAACATTCATTTTAAAGTGTTGGAACTGATGAGAAATAGAGATCTACACAGACACCTGGTCAGTGGATTTTCTTCTTTAAAATAGTGAGCATGAGCATCTGGAGAATATCGGAGCTTCATGTTTACAGAAGAATTTGGAATCATTTAAATTTCAACAGACGTTACACAGTGCATAATCTATCAACGGTCTCAGAAATAAATTAATATAGTGTCTTTCAGACATTGAGCATCTTAGTACTCTTCTATATCTCTGTTTTAAATATATTTTCCTATTGAGTATACATTTTATAAAGTCTCTAAAGAAAAAAATATCATCACTATTGTGTGATAAATTGCAGAACAGTCCAAGCAGCTGCAAGGAAAATGTTTTAATTACTAAATTAATAATTTCAAACTGGACCAGAAGGGACCATTATCCCTGAGGATATGGATGCATATTGTTCTTTGGTTTAGCTAAGCCAGGAGCTCCTAATTGCAATGAAATGTGCCTAAATAAATGATGGCAGTTGAGCTTTGATATTTTGGGTGAAGTATTTGTTCACATTGTTTTTATGTGGTTCATATAATTTCAAAAATAGCATCATGCCCTGTCACGAAATGTTTCTAAAGAAGGATTTGACAATAGAATTACAAATTATGTATCTCCTTCCTTATATTTCTATATTTTATTTAATTTACTAATCTGCTAAAGGATTAAAAAAAATTAAAATAATATTGAAACTCTAGAATATTATGAGTGACTCTCACTAGTGATTTGAAGTGTTAAATTTCAAAATATAAGTTTTTAAATAAATAGCAATTATAAAGCTTAATGAGATTTATGTCACTTAAAATTTTCTCTTAAATTGAAGAGGAATAGCTCTATAATACTTTAAAACTGGTTGTTTTAGTAAAAATAATCAAAAAATAACAATAATAACACTAGCAAATTGGCTAGCTTTATATAGTGTTAACTCTATGCTAGGCACTGTATTAAATACTTTTAGAATGATTATTTTTAGGGTATGAAATATAATGGGGTTAAAGTTGTTGTAAGTGGTTATGCTATTCTAGAATGGAAATAATGTAAAACAAAATTACCATGTAAATTTTACATATTTAAAGTGTAGAATACAAATGACTTAGAATCTCAATAAAGCTGTTAAAAAATACAAACACGTATGCAGACATACATATAAAAATACACAAAAGTAATATAAAATATTCTTAAATTATTTTAAGATTATTTATGGAGTGATATTCAGTTTAAACTTTGAATTATGAAAACGGTATGGAAAGTCAAATTTATAAAAACATAGATCAGTTGTTTTAGGTTTTCAAATATTTTCTCTTAGTGTACAAGTTTCAGGAGTTCTGAAATTCAATCCTCTGTAAGATTTTTTCTCAAATCATACAAGCATAGCCATACAAAATATAATATGCTACTATGGAGAAATTGAATGAAAAATGCAGATAAAAAGATTTTTAAAAAGTCAGCTGGGAAAGTGGACAAAAAAAGGCATGCTGAGAACAGTTTTAAAAAAATTGGTCAAATCAACTTTCCAAACCCCAAGCAGCAAATTATCTATATCTGAATTGCCTGTAAAATGTAAATAAAGTCATAAATCAATAATAAAGTTCATTACATAATAAATCCTTTACTCTGAGATTATAAAATACTACCTGGTACATTGCACCTTCTAAAAAAAAGTGTGCCAAGCATTCAAAGCTCATTTTAACCTTAAAATGTTGTTCAGTGTCACCACAGTAATTATTTTCCTCTCTGATAATATGGTGTACGTCTATTATTAAAATATAATATTTCCTTACCATTGTGTAGCTGTGGGCCACCTTCATTAATTCAATACATCCTTGAGCATCTGCAAATGCTCGGATTCCTAAACAGTTAGATGGATGCAAAAGCTTCATTAGGAAGTGGCAGCACACTTCTACTACTTGAGGCAGCTGGAGAAGGCATGCTGCAGCAAGAAGGTTTTCAATGGTGTCTTCCTTTAATTCCAAGCAACCTGTAAGTGTAAGCGAAGAGAATTATGAAACTGTCTAAACCATGAAATAATAACATGTACCATTGTATTACTCAAACCATTAAAAGGCATGCTGCAGCAAGAAGGTTTTCAATGGTGTCTTCCTTTAATTCCAAGCAACCTGTAAATGTAAGCGAAGAGAATTATGAAACTGTCTAAACCATGAAATAATAACATGTACCATTGTATTACTCAAACCATTAAGCTAATCTGCTAGAATTTATCTGAGCCTAGATTGGTAATCATGATACATATAACTCAGTAGAGTCCAGAAATTGTTTTAAGCACTTTTCATTTCTTACTTCATGTAATGTACCAAACCACCCAGTCCACACAAATGCAATTTCAAATAAAATATCTAAATCCACTTCAGCAGCAAATATGGTTCCTTCTTTGGTTGTGAAATAAGAAAAAAAAGATAGAGAAATAAGGTTAAAACATATGTCTTTAAGCTTAGGGGAGAAGAGATTCACTGTGACAATGTGTATATTTGCACATGTGTATGAAATACCTGTACGTGTATAATTAATTCATGCACATAATTTATATATACATGTGTTGTAGGTTGCTAATATTGTATTTAACTCATTGTGCCCATGTTTATAATTGTCTCTAATTTTTCTTTCCTTTTGGTCAGTTATCATAAGCACAAAAAAATTATCTCTTCAGTGTTTCCTCTTTTGTTTTTTAACTACAGGTTAATTTATTAAAGAATGGGTCTATTTCTGAAATGTTTATAGAACTCCTATTTAAACTATTCTAAGCTTAATTGTCTGGGGANAAAAAAAAGATAGAGAAATAAGGTTAAAACATATGTCTTTAAGCTTAGGGGAGAAGAGATTCACTGTGACAATGTGTATATTTGCACATGTGTATGAAATACCTGTACGTGTATAATTAATTTATGCACATAATTTATATATACATGTGTTGTAGGTTGCTAATATTGTATTTAACTCATTGTGCCCATGTTTATAATTGTCTCTAATTTTTCTTTCCTTTTGGTCAGTTATCATAAGCACAAAAAAATTATCTCTTCAGTGTTTCCTCTTTTGTTTTTTAACTACAGGTTAATTTATTAAAGAATGGGTCTATTTCTGAAATGTTTATAGAACTCCTATTTAAACTATTCTAAGCTTAATTGTCTGGGGATAGATTTTAATTAGCAATTCTATATCTTCAGTGGTTTTTGTCTCATTCAGATTTTCTGTCAGTATCTGGGTAAGGTTTTATAAGGCATATGTTCTCAGGAATAGTTTATTCCATTTTTGTGACACAGACTATAAGCTCTACACTAGAAGTATCTTCACTAATTGTTTCTGAATATAGGGCCAGACCACAATGTTTTTAGTGCAGTGTGACATGTACTGTTTTTGTTAATGGATAATGAGATGAAGGAAAGTGTGTTACTACTAGACCAAAGCATTTTGATGTGAGTGTCCTCATCCATGCTCTTTCCCTTCCACCAGCTAAAGGTGAACAAAAAGTGATAATAAAATTTGAGTGGATGAAAGGTACACAATATGGAAGGAGCCTGGGTTCTGAACAATATGTGCAAGCATTAGCTTATAATAAAAATACTCAAATAGTGAAGCCTAAGTATTTGAATCTATCTAGATATAACTTTATTAGTTCTTGCAGCCAAGTCTACTCTAAATTGTCATTTTTATTTTAATTAGCCAGTTCATGAAATTAGGTAAAAACTTTTACACCATATATTGTTTACTTTTGTCTTCTGTAATTTGTACTTTAAGTAAGTCAAATTTTTCAGTGGATTGTCTGATTAAATAAGAACTTCAGAGAATCAACTCTTTTTGTTTTTGTTAGTAGACAAA